AGAAACACGAGATCGGTTCTCATCCTCGAAGTGAATCGTATCTGGTGCTGTCAAACCGTTGTCGATACGATTAATGCACTTCCCTTTTCTGAAACGCCAAATCTAACAAATGACTGAATTCTTTTTCGCTCTTTTATCGACGTCTTTGTGCAACAGGTAACAAACGTTCGAGATCGATGTCCACTCCTGTTCACAATAATATATTCCATTCACAATGAATAATAACAAACATATGTGACATTTAAATTAGCGATAATTAATCGAAACAAATCATCTCAGAGAAAAGTTGTGTGTTAGAGATTAAAATTCTTTTTATATAATTGATTTTTATGATTTATTTTTATCAATTTTTTAATTATATATAATTCATATCTTTAATATTTTAATCTAACAATCGATCAAATACAATTTTTGTAAAGTGAGTGTAAAAAACAGATTAGTTTCGTAAACTTTTTTATAATTACGCAGAATCGTTCATATAGCAGAACACTTATTTTTTTAAACTTCAACATCCTCATATTATTTTTGTAAATTTTAAGCAAAACGATACTGTTCCGAAATTTGGTATTGATTTTTATTTTTTATGTAGAAATTCGTAGAATTTAAAAACGGAAATCGCATTTTTAAATATCGATTGGTGTAATTGATATATCTCTATGTCTACCCGCAATTGAATTACAACCCTCTGCGTTGTAACTTTAAGACTGTGTTTTATCTAGGCGGAAAATTGAATATAGGGATGCAGGATTGAAACGAGGAGGTGCCAGTAAAGACGCTATAATACGAGTTTGCGGATCGTGTGGAAATGTACAATAGATGCAATGTGATTATTAGGTGGATCATACGAGGTTTCGTGAGGAAAAGAGTAAGTGAGAGGAATTACGAGAAAATGAGATGGAAAGTAAAAAGTTTTTTGGGCGTGCGAGAAAATATTTGAGTGAGAGACCGCGAAAGAGATAGATCGCGAGTGTGTATATCTGTGTAAATATACTGATACATTATAAAAGGATTATATAACCATAACGGATGGTAAAGCGAATACAAAAAATACTTGTTTTTATATCAGATCTGTATTATAGCGAAATATTATTCTGTATTTTGTAATCAGAACAGAAGTTTAGGGATGACGTGCGAGTGTCTGTTACATGCGTGTAATCGAGCCTCTGGGTTTTAAGTATGAGTTTCTTTGGCGATTCATCGTGGACCGGAGGAATCATACGATCAACGTTATTTAGGAAATTTCGAGATTTCTTGCGTATAGATGCAAAAAAATTCCGTTTGACCCCATTCACAGTCGCTCGTAATATTGAACGATTTAATATGTTTCAATGCGAGCAACAATCCGTGACACTCAACGGATGAGATTTACTGCCAATGAACGTAGCCAGGTGCGTTTTCGATTAATTTTAATACATTAATTATAGTACATCGCTAGAAATGTTTTCTGCCAATGTAAATGTTAATTACGGTCTTCTAAATGTACGATAATAGCATGAATATTTTAGACAACCGTCAGATAAAGAAGACTTTTTATACGCCCTTTTTTAAATTTTATTTTACGCCGAAAAAGAAGGAAGACCTTATCTGTACATTAAAAAAAAAATACGGAATAATGTCGTTCGAAAAGTCATCGAGAATCTCTGGGTAATCATTTCGTTCCAAGTCACTGCCATTTGAGCAATCTTGAGGTAGTCAGAACTTGCTTTCGGAACGAGCTGACATCCCGATCGAACGTTATTGGTGCGCGAACTACCTTTGCTTCCATTTCACTGCCACTAGCATTTCGAACAACTGAATTGTTATGATCAAAAATCGCATGTACAAATTTGTACGTGACGTAACGAATATCCAAAGATGACAAAATAATTAGCAATGCCTTGTTACGTTCCGAAAGCCTAAAGAGCGAGCGTGGAATGGGGTCAGGGTGTAGTTACTAGTTGACAATGAAGTCGCTTGCGCGTACGAAAGGATTAATAAGAAATAAGGATAAATTCTCCTTCATCATTTGTCCCAGACCTCTAACTACATATGCTTAAGCTTATTCATTTCCGCGGCATCCGGATTAAGATGCGACTTTAATTCCCCCGTAATAATGAACTTCCTGTACGGTTCGTTGCAATAATGCAATGTGTCACCGTTATATATCACGTTGATAACGATAATGAAAGCGTAATCTTCAAGACTATATGCGATTGGCGTACCGTATACCGATCTTAATCCAGAACCGCATTACTGTGACGCGATGCACATACAACACACTACTCTATCACTTGTACATAATGTTAGAGAAGGAAAGAACAAAAAAAAATCGAAGATTATATTTTTTCTATCGATCCAAAAACGTGGTGACCTATCAACATCGTGCATCTGGGATTATTTAAGCATGTAATTTCGTGCCCTTTATACCGAATTACTTCGCAAACGACGAATTGTTTTCTCCAGGAATCATTTTTATTTTGAGTATTACTTGGATATCATCGAACACCAAAGTGTGTTCACCACTCTTACGTTCGTGCCGTATCTCTACTTTTAGTCGGTGATGCGCTTTTAAGGGTGTATCTCTTTATTGTAAATTATAACCGAGCATGATACTGACCAATCGCTGAACGTAGCTTCAGACCACCACTCTCTCTTTTTCCCAAAATGTCTAGAATGCGGCGAGTGTTTTAAGGATATTATAAATAAATGAATTATGATTGTGAATATCTCTTGTGTTATGTTAATGTGATTAAAAAAGACAAAACATTGTAAAGAATTAAATAAAGCATACATTTTACATTTATTTGTTTGTAATCTTTGGAACGATGAGGATTGTAAAGATTACGAATCGTTGTTTTGTACATATAGTTTTATTTGTTATATAAACTATTGTAAAAGAGTTACAATTGTACATTAAAAAGTCATAGTGGGTAAATGATGATACCTACTGTGTGATACATGAATATCGCGATCTTTAGCTTGAAGTCATGGGAACTTACATCATACATTCCAGTGCAACAGAAAAATTCTTTGACGTAAATTATAACACTCAATTGAAATCGTATGCAATCGTACGTTTTTTTTTTTTTAATATTGTGTTATTAACGAATATTTCAAGCCGGACGTCAAATATACAGAATTGAGAAAATACTGTACAATACAAAATGCTTATTACATGTCATCTCAAATATATTAGAAAATTCGTGACACAAATTGTCCATCGATTAATTTTCCTCGATAAAGATTCTTACAAAGACAATCGAATTATACAAATGTTTCGGCGATAAACAGATTTCAATTATACAGATTAAATATGATGCGCGGTTTTTGTCACAAGCAAAGAGAAATGGCTAAAGTGTATTACAATGCCGCAAGCTTTACCGTTCTGTTGA